CCCTCAAACTGATGATGCATCAATCGAAAGCATCGCGAGTTTGTTACTTATGAAACGAAAACGTTGAGTAGAATAAGGTTTGGTAAAAAACAATCTGCAACGAAGAGGAGAGCAAGGTAAGGTGATGGTGCCATGTTGAAAGTGGTGAAGTGGCAATCAATCTCATTATGTTGAGTACGCTCATGACAGACTGATTTTTGAGCAATTTGAATAACACTATTATTATCATAATACATGAGAGTAGGTTCACGCAGATCAACACCTAGAGAAGGAAGTGACCAATGCAACCAAACTATTTCAATAGTGGTGGTTGCCATAACACGATACTCAGCTTCTGTAGAAGAGCAAGAGATAACATCTTGCTTCTTACTCTTCCATGATATGAGAGAATCTCCTAAAAAAATACAGAAACCCATAGTAGAATGGCGATCGGTAGAATCCCAAGCCCAATCAGAATTAGAATAAGCACAAAATGTTAAAGAAGAAGTTGAAGAAAAAAGAAAACTCTAAAACCCAATGAATAGTAGTAGGAGAACTCACAAACTGGCTAACAATGTGCACTGCATAAGAAATAACATGTTTAGTAATGGTCAGATACACCAAACTCCCAACAAGAGTGCAATATATTGTAGGTTTAGAGAGAGGAACACCATCATAAGATGTATATCTAGCATTAGTCTTCAGTGAACTATCAACAACTTTAGTATCAAGAGACTAACCATGTCAAGAATATATGCTATATATTTTGATTGCGAGAGAAGACAACCTCTAGGAGAGAAAGCTACTCCAATTCACAAGAAGTATTTGAGAGAACCTAAACCCTTCATCTCAAATTGTTGTTCTAGTTGTGTATTTAACTTTGTAATTATCCCATCAACATCATTACCGATAATGATCATATCATCTACATATAAAGAGATGATAATGAAACCATGCGGAATATTCCTGACAAATAAAGCAAAATCATGTGGACTTGAAGAGAATCAAAGACAAGTTGTCACAATAGAGAATTTCTCAACTCAAACCAAGCGTGAGGACCCTGATTGAGCCCATAAAGAGACTTTTGCATCTTGCATACTTCCCCCAGATTATAAGAAACTCAAGGAGGAGGCACAATATATATTTTCATGAAGATCGCCATTAAGAAAAACATTGTTAGCAAACATTGTTAACAATATATATCTTCATGAAGATCGCCATCCGATAAATATGTCATTAATGAACAAAGGCAATAGTAATAAAAGTGCAAATTGGAGCAAAAGTTTCTTCATAATCCATGCCCTATTGTTGAGCATAGCCCTTGGCAACAAGACGAGATTGTAGTGTTCAACAGACCCACCAGACTTGACTTTGATCTTGAAAACCCAACGAGAACCTATAACACGTTTTCCTGGTGGTAGAGACACCAGAGTCCAAGTACCTATTTCGCACAAAGCTGAAAGTTCATCGTCCATAGCGTGCTGCCAAAGTGGATGAAGAGTAGCCTCTTGATAGCCTATAAAGAGAGGTCAAAGTAGAAGCAGAGGAAGTAGAATAAATGGAGTAAACAAAATCAGGTAATTGAGTAGACTTACGGATACGACAAATCTCAAAATCTACAAACGGCATGGAAGGGAGGATGAGGAACTTCACCCCTAAATTCTCAAAATTAAAGTCAATTGTGTCATCAATATCCGCAACATACAGATTAGTATGAGTGAGATCAGATTTGGTAATACTATGAGAGTCTAATGGAATGAAGTAAAATGACAAATGTTCAAGAAAGACAATATGACGAGATGTATACAATTTGTGAGTAACATGATTGTTAAAAAAACCAGTAAGATGATTATAACAACGATAACCTTTTTGACCATCCCCAAAATCAAGAAAAACACATATGGTAGATTGTGGAGATAATTCAGGTGGATGACCATATAGTCTTTCAAAAGGAGACAAACATGAAGTAACAAAAGAAAGGATTATGTTAGTGACATGAATCGCGTGCAGTTTTGAAAGCCTCACCCCAGAACTCAGTAGGAGCTGAAGTTGACAAGAGCAGAAAATGAGCTGTTTCAAGAATGTGACAATGCTTTCTTTCAGCAACTCCATTTTGCTCAGGGGTGTCAGTACAAGAGGCTTGATGAAGAGTTCCATCTGAGGAAAGTAACCCAGAAAATCTTTTATAGGTGTATTCACCACCTATATCACATCGGAAGCACTTAATAACAGAGTTATGTTGAGTTTTAACCAAAGCACGAAAAGCATAATAAATACCAAAGAGTCCAGAACGATGCTTCATAAGATAAATCCAACAATAATGAGTGTAATCATCAATGAAAGAAACATAATATCTTGATCCACCCTTAGTAGCAATTGGAGATGGACCCTATACATAAGAATGAACCAAATCAAAAGGTTCCTTAGAAATGGAATCACTTTTACAAAAAGGTAAAGCAGAAAACTTGGGAAGTTTACAACCAGAACAGTTAAAAATGTCATTTGGTTGTAAAGACCCTAAGACTCTAGTTGATGATATGTATTTTAGACGAGGTGAAGATACATGACCAAGACAAAAATGCCATAAATAAAACTAAGAAGAAGACAAATTCAAGGGAAAAGATGATAAATTAACAGTAGGAGCGGCAACATGTGGAATCCTCAGCTCATGCAAATATTAAGTCCGCTGCCTACGGCTTGTCCCAATCAACCAATTTGATTGAGGATCGAGCATGTACCAATGACTTGATGAAAACTGGATTAAGAAATCTGAATCACATTGTTGACTAACAGAAACTAGACTTAAAGTGATGTTAGGTATATAGTAAACATTAGAAAGTGATAGTTTAGGTGTGGAAATTAAATAGAACCAATGCCTTCCAATAACATAGGAGTTCCATCAGTAGTCGTGACAGATACACATCAAGGCTTATGTACATACATAAAAGATTTAAAGTCAGATGACATATGATGAGAAGCTCCAAAGTGAAGAAGCCAAACTGAAGATGATATATGTCATGAGCCAGTAGAAGATAGACCTACATTAGGAGAGACTTACATGGAATTAGGTTGAGATGAAAGAAATTTTTGAAATTGTTCTGCTAGATCACACATGGTAGACCCAGAATCCCCCCCCCCCCCCCTCGCAAAGGGTGGCAGAAAGAGAAACGACATTAGCACCAACAAAATTGGAAAAGGGAGATGAGATGGATGCCATGCATTGAGATGATAACAACTTGACACTAATAGCAGCTTGACACTGGGTGCAAACCAATCTATGTGTCTGCAGTGACTGTGTGCACAAACAATATAATATTTGTCTGTGCACAGACAATTATTTTATGTGACCAAAATATGGGTTTTTCCGTATAGCTAGATTTTACAACACAAGTAATTGTTGTGAGGCTCATAGATAATATAATTGTTTGTGTGATCAGTTTTTGGTATTTGTATTCACATTGATTTTATTACACATGCAATAGTTGTGTTGTTCACAGAAAATAGTTGTTTGTGTGATCTACTTTAGTTGTCTGTGTAATCAATTTTAATTATCTGAGTGAACAAAATATATAATTGTCTATATACGTCCAAATGAATGATGTAGTTGCATGTTACTCTGTGATCAATTCACATGTATCTTTAAAAAATTAATCAAAAAATAATAAAAATAGATGAAAATAGATAAATAAATTGATTTTGTCCCCGATTGGATAAAAAAGTAGAGAATAAGAGGATGAAGAAGAGAAGAGGAGGATGAAAAAGACAAAAATATGAACGTTGGTCGTATGCGACCAACACCTCCCTTTGATGCATGGCTTAAACGCCCAACCTATTGGCACCATGATGATGTGGTGCATCCCCTCATGTCCATCCATCGCTCAGTAGTGGGGTTCTGCACTGCCTTAGTCAACTGAGGGGGGAGGGGGGGTGCCCCATAGGAATTTACTTTGACTCGGAGACTACAGAGTGGTGTGTTAAGTAAAGGGTGTTCACCTCTTCATCACCAAATTTCAAGAAGGGTATGATTGTTATTTAACCACATAACTCTGCATTAAAACCAGCCCAAAGATGGGAGATCCATTATTGATAAGTTTATTTAAAGAGTGAACCGATCCTACAATAACCTAATTTTCTTTTGGATATCCGAATGAGCTGAGTAAAGAGTGGGAAGATAGAAGGGAGAGGGAGGAAAGAGAGAAAGGAGAAGATAAAAAAATAGGAAAACGAGAAAGTATATAGTGTATATAGATACTGTAGTACTCTTGTATACAAATGTCACTTTTCCTTCTTTGCAATGATATGATTTTATTTTTTTTCCGTCAACTTTTAAACATCAAGAACAATAAACTTTTATCCTGCGGAAGTAAGCGCAACTTTGCGCTAGGGTTTAGGCGCCACATAGTGTGTCGGTGAGTGGCTTGGGATATTCTTCAATTGACAGATGAGCATCAGGCTGATGATGGGCGACGAGGTTGGCGATGGTCTGGTTTCTGCCAACATGGAATGATCGATCGAAACTCAAGGAAAGAATGTTCCATCCATGGAATTGAAAATGGTGAACCAAGCGATACAACGAGAGTGGTGTTCAATGTTCAAATGGCGGCACTAATGGCCTGACTTCCTCCTGAACCACCGTCATGGAGTGAACTTGTGTCTAGGGCGGTTTGGAAAAATAAGATCCAAGTTTGCTTTATTTTTATTTCAAGGTATATCTTTCTTTCGAGACAATTTTTTTAGTTTTTGGATTGCTTGTGTTCGTCATAGGTTTGAGATGTATATTTTAGCCACAATCAAAGGTAATTATCTGGATACTCCCATATGTTTAGCAAAAAGCTTTGCTCAATTTTGGGAAAACTCTTCTTTGCCTGATCATGTGACCTTAAAGGTCTATAACAATGTTGTGTTGCTTGTTTGGTGGCCAGCGATTCATGTTTCTTCTTCGGAGGTGGTCATCTCAGAGTCTGATCGAAGGACGTCTTTGGGGCTATTGGTTGATTGTAACTCTAGATTCATTTGATATTTTAATATAAGTATAGTTTTCCTTTAAAAAAAAATTGAATGTGAAATCAGACACATCGTGGTACACATAAAAAAGGAAGTAGCCAAATTTGAGCATAGTATTTTTATTCATCTACTATATATATAACCTAAATAAGAATACACAAGCTGGCTAATTCTAGGAGATATCTGTAGACTAGGAAATACATGGCATGTTATTCCAGCACAACGTGGTCTCTGAGGTTGTGATTGTGCTTGACGATTTCGAATCTTCTTTGTGATTTCTAACGGTGCCGGCGACATCACCACCACTAGCACTGTCCACAAAATCACCGTTCCCATCTTCATCTCCATCCTCATACCAATCAGGAGGAGCTTGTACTGCCAGTGGAAAATTGTCAAGCAGACACATTATATCCTCGTCCATTACACAACTATTGTTATTACTCTCCTTCCCCGCTGGAACTCCACCTTCCCTTGTCTCTGTGTTTATTGATTGCATAAATATATTTAATTAAATTGCTACTTCAATCTATTCGATTACACGCGTAATTATATAAGGAAAAAAATCACAAGGAGTATGATTAAAAGGAGTGTTATAAAGTCTAAATATTCGAGGAGTGTTACAATGAGTGTCATATTCACTCATATTTCGAGGAGTGTTTATTGTTTTATCCTTTTAATATGAGTGAATAAGTCCTATATTTGGGAGAAATCATATGTAATTTAATATAAAATTTTGTCCATGTTTTAATTTTATTTCATGTCATTTGTTTTTTATTTCTAAATCACTGGTATTTTTAGATATATGGTCCACGCTTGATGCTTCTATCCTACTTTTCTCTCTTCAATTGAAGTATTACTCACTTATTTAATTTAGTAAATATGGAGCATTAGCAATCCAAGAATATTTGATAGATTTCTTATTATATAATCATTCAAAGCAAAACTAAAAGGGAAAATATTCACTCCTCTATTTCTAGAAGTTTGTCATTTTTTAATTTTTAGTCAATCAAGCTAAACTCTGACTTGTTATATATTTTTATAAGAAAATATTCAGATATAATGACATACTAGTATATATTACCAAAATGAAGATAGTCGACAAAAGTATAACTTTTTATACTTTACTGATTATAATAGTAACTTCAGTCACCATGATTATGTTTAATTTTAAATAATAGTTGGGATAATCATATATTTATAATAACTTTAGTCATCATTTAAATATTATATGTATTATTTCGTTAAAACTCGTTATTTATGATCCTAAGTACTCCCTCCGTATTTTAAAGTTTGCTACACTTTCTTTTTTGGGATGTATTTAAAAGTTTGGCACACTTTCCGTTTTTGCTAAATTTTTCCTTTAAAAAATACTCAACTATTCTGACTTTTTTAATTTTTCATCTTCTCTTTTCTACTTTTTCATCTTCTCCCCTACATTTTCTACACTATTCATTACTCCTACTTTTTTCTCCTAAAACATTGTGCCAAAAGCTATTGTAGAGAACATATAAATACGGAGGGAGTATGAAAATATGAAAATGCTCTATGTTAAAAATAGAGACTAATAATTCATAAATTAATGTAGAAATTAAAACCATTAATCAAAATTTATGATCATTAATTTTTGAAAAGTAAAGTTCTAAGGATGGAGGGAGTATAGCCATTTGGCTAACGATTTGTTAAATTAATGATATCTGGTTTTGACGCTAAAAAAGGATAAAGGGAGTATTTTAGTTTGAAAATCAAACCTTCACAGCCAAAACTAAGCACCACTTCTTGATTTCCGATCGTAGATTTGTGTTTCCCGTTTCCATCTGAAGAATAATTTTTGTTAACTCGCGCCAAAGAATGAGACTCGCGCAATAAATCGTCCAATAATCCACTGTTCCTCCGCGATAAATCCGGGTGGTCAGCTTCGTCGCAGTCATCATCCTCAGCCTCGACGGTCACCGCCGCCGGGCAAAGAGTCCCGGAAGATCTTACCGGGGTGGCCGTTGTTTGCACGGCGATTTGGATTGAAGGTCGCTCTTGTATGTTCATTCCCGCTGGACTCGCGAAGAAACCGCAGCCGGCGAAGGTTGGATAGAGGGAACTGAACGGGAACGGAAGCGGTGCCGCCTGAGCAAACTGTTTATTGGCCGCCGCCGAGGAGGAGGATGAGGCCAACGTCAGAGCAAGACCACCGTGCGGAGAGTGTGTGATAAACTTGAAATGATGGGAGTTATGGGTATGGGGAGGTGGAGCGGGAGATTTCAAGGCCGCCGGAGAACGGTCCAACATGTGGTCGTACATGGACATAGAGGGATTGTAAGCGGCGGCGGGCTTGGGCGGCGGCGGCGGCGCTGATAGAAGCGCAGACAGGGGAGATGAAGAAGAGGTGGACATCAGGATCTGGGCATTGGGATAGTATGAGTTTTGGGGTTGAATCTCTTGAGGATAAATGGGTAATCCAGCTCTCTGCCTCCTCTTTAGCCTAGTATTCCAATAATTCTTTATCTCGTTATCTGTTCTCCCCGGCAACTACACATACACATACACAAATCAATTCAACTTGCTAATAATTTTCGGGAATCATATAACCCTTTTAAACTAATAAAACTAATTTAGAAGAAGGCTCTTAGATAATTAAGGTACACCCCAAATACTAATGAATAATAGAAATCAATTTGTTATTCTAATTTTACGTATTATTTGGTTTTATTGAAAATATTGGGGGTGTTTGGTAAATGACATTTCAGACAAAAAATGACGATTTGAACTTTTTTAGCATTTTCACCTAGTGAAAACGTTGTTTGATAAATAACTGTTCGACACTATCTTTTGTGGACGAAACCGTTGGCATAGAAATGCTTTAAATATGATAGTTTTGGGTTAACGTTTTGAAATATGACCGTTTTTTTTTTACTATTTTTATGTCCAAACAACTAAATTATCAAATATCTTCTGACAATCCATCAACTTATTCCGCTAGTCAAATCTGCTGACTGGATTTACTATTAGCAACCCACTAACATAATCTACTATTCTGCTATCCGCTAACAGTTAAATGCCAAACACACCCGTTACTTATAAAACTTTCCTTTTTAAGAATTGAATGTGTCATATTTTATCATACAGAGTATTTTTAGACAAAAAGGGATGGTGACTAACTTTGTCTATGAGATTTTGATGCTATTTATATAATCACCTGAGCCGCCATGCGAGCCCACTTGTTGCCGAGCTTGGAATGAAGCTGAACAATGAGACGTTCTTCCTCGGGAGAAAAGGCGCCCTTCCTCAGATTAGGCCTGAGATGATTGGCCCACCTTAGCCTACAGCTCTTACCGCACCTCATCAGCCCGGAGTTCCTCTGGACGGCGTTCCAATTCCCCTCGCCGTGCTTCTTCACGTATTCCATCAGAATCGCGTCCTCTGCCGTCGTCCACGGCCCCTTCTTCAGCATCTGCCGGTTCCTTCCCTGGCCACCGCTTTTCATTGCTCCACCATCCGACGACGTCATATATAACCGCTCTAGTGCAGCAGCTAGCTGATCGATCGATCTTCTGTTTTTGGTTGGAACTAATAAATGATGGGATCCAAAATGTTTTCTTTTTGGATGGAAAATACAGAAAAACAGAGATATGGCTGAGAAAGAGAAAGATGGAAAGGATGAGAGGGGGAGGTGCCTGCTGGGCAGATTTATAGAATGATAGGTGTGAGCTTACTTCTCGTCCCGGCTTGCAAGCTTCATGCTACATTTTTTTACGCCCGCACTTTCCTTTCTCCACTCCTTTTCAATTTTCACCTCACAGTAGTATTTACGGAGTATCATGCTCCATTTTACATTTCCTCTTTTTCAAAAGTATTTCAATACGTGTGTAGCGACAGAGAGCGTGTTTGGCTCGCATGTCTAAAAATAGCAAAATACAGTTACATAAAGCTCTAATTAGTCAATGGTTTAAAATACAAAAAAAAAATAGAACTAAAACATTCATAAATGCATAAATACCATAATTATTGTTTTCTTCATAAAATGAGATTAATTCATTTCTAATTGAGAACATTTTTACATTTATAATATGATCAAACAAGTCTTACTTAAGTAAGTGTAATGGTATAGTTCCACTAGTGCACTTTCATTCACTTTTAGAGCGGGTTTGGCTTGCCTTATTAGTCAACTTTTTGCCAAATATGTAATTTTCGTTCTGAATTGTATAATACGAAGTAATAAAAATAAGTAAGGTTGAACTTATTTTAGCTATTTTTTATATGGAGTATAATTTTTGTTAGTTTAATTAATAAAATACTCCGTATATTTTAATACCCCCATAAATCAGCAGAATCAATCAATCTAGCCACTTTCATCAAAACTTCATGAATTTCAACAGAATCACTTGATTTAGCCAATTATAGTGTTACCAAACGAGCTTTTAGTCTTATTTAGAGAAATTACTATATAAAATAGGGAATTGACTTAAATAGAAGTAAAAATGTTTGTATATTTCAAAGTAGGATTGTCATGTTTTTATTCCCTAAACATGAGTAATTATTATCATGTTTTGGTAGTACTGCAGTTTGTTACTCCTATTTAGGAAACAAAAACATGACCATCTTTTTTTGTGCATAGTTCAAGAAGTTCCTTAAGCATAATGTCCAAGAGTTGGAACGCTTAATGATGCACAATGGGACATACTGTGCTGAGTTTGCCCATAATGTTTCAACCAAGAATCGAAAAGAAATCGTTGAGCGTGGTCCAGTTAGATGTTGTAGTGACTAACAAACGCAGGTTTATACATAAGTAAACAACTCTTTTGCTAGTGTTTTTCATCTTCAAAGGCATAACTAGAAATGCAGGTTACACCTCACTCGCTTCACATCTGCATATTTCACACACACTGACAGACACATGCCCTGCAACGCCGCACATACATACAGAGTATGAAACCGGAAGTCATGTAGATTATTTATTTTGATTCCGTAGGAGGATCAAAGAGTCTTTAATTGTATTCGGTTTTCAACACTACAATTTGAACAAAATAAATTGATTGTAACTCAACTAATAACATTCCCGTAAAAGAGAAAACGTGACTCTAGTAAAACCTTCAACATATATGAATATGAATGGAATGTACTATTCAAATTGAGAAAATGATGAAGCCATTGCATTGTTAATGTGTTTGTCACTCATAATTCAACCAAACGAATAAGGAAGAAGAAATCTGGATTACTTTTAGAGTTTCACGCATATACAAAGATGAAATAAGTAAAAGGAGTTTGACAGAAATGTTTTCACTTGCCACCTTAAATTTCGCCAGGAAATTTCACCAGGAAACTATTTTTTTTGCTGAGTCACAATGTTAGGGAGCTAGGCTTGCTGAAAATCGAAAGAGAAGTTGAGATTGTGGGGTTTTTCGTTTCCAGCTCAACAACACAGGACATATACACGTTATTGTTGGAGAGACTAAATTTACCTCAATTTTGACAGATGTGACAGTGCCTTTTTAAGCAATTCATATTCTCATTAGAGATAGCTCTAAGTTTTGCTTAAACCACACAGATGGACATGGATACCCTTTTCTCATGAGGGAGACAGGGAAGGGAGACATTTCCCGGCTTCCTGCCATGAGATAGCTTAACAGTTATTACGTATTACTTGTTTCACCTTTTTAGTTGCAAATAAAAATGTATAAAAAACATAGGCATTGTTGTTTCATCTTACGTATCCAACTTCTATTAATTTTTCATCTTCTTTCTCTAATTTTTTGGCTTTTTTACACTATACACCTCTTTTGCAACTCTCAAATATCATTACAAATGGTTGAAACGAGTAAATGGAATGAGGAAGTAGTGTTTATTCTTTTTCTGACTGAAAAATATTACATGATTACTTTGTTTACCTCTCTTAAAACAAATATGGGTATAACTAGGGGTGGGCAAAAATACCGAAATATCGGTATACCGCACTTACCGTACCGAAAAATACCGGAAAATACCGAAATATTGGTATACCGTCATTTTCGGTACGGTATCATACCGTACCGGTCTATTTCGGTACGGTAACGATAAATGTTTTCAAATACCGCGGTATACCGGTATAATACCGTACCGACTCCCTACTCAACAATTACTTTTAATTTTAATATATTTTAGAAATCCATTACAATTTTGAAGCCCAAAATTAATACTTAAGTTGGTTACAAATACAAAAATACAAAAATAAAAGCCCAATTTCTCAAACCCACTATAACCTTATAGGCTTCTACTACGCTAATCTTAAATGACTAATGAGTAATGTACAAATGTCAAGAAACAAGTCCATCTTGTTCCAAGAGCTTGCAAGTCGTGATGGCTGGGCCGCTAAGTAGCTGACGAGTGAAGAGAGATACACTTATGTGACAAGTGTATCTACATAGGGATTCAGCGAGTCGAGACACACAACTTTGTCCGAAAGTCTTATTCAATTTTTAAAAAATTATAAAAATGACTAAATACACAATTTCATATTAGGAATAAATAATTTTATATCCATGTTGTTTGAATAGTTTTATTTATTTTTGTTAGAGATCGCTATTAATTTAATTATATCTATATTGTTCAAGTTATTTTAGGAGAATGTGTTACTTTATAATATGTGGTATGTTGAACTGCTTAAATATACTAATTATAATTATTGTTCAATATTGAATTGACATCAATAGATTATTAATTGTATTTCGTAACATTTTAATAATAGATTTAATATGTCGCTAGTAATAACGATTTACTATATTTTGTTAGTCTATGATAATTTTTTGTATTGGGAGACATGCACGGTAATTTACCGATACCGTACCGTTACCGAACCGAAACTTCGGTATACCGAAATGCGGTATACCGAAACTTCGGTAAGGTAAAGGTATGCAAATTTTGCATACCGAAAGTTTTGGTATGGCAAAGGTATGAGAAAAAATATAAGGTATACCGTACCGAACCACCCCTAGGTATAACTGTATAATTGCCTTTTTCAAGTAACATACTAATCGGGGCAACTCGGTAACCGTTTCCAAGTTGACCGGGCTTGCCTGGTTCTCTATACATTGTGTCATGGCGTGTATACACTCACAACATGGTTTTGTGCAAAGCTGTTACCCAGACAAGTGTTGAATGTTTTCAAAACCAGGTAAAAGAAACAGAATCGATGCCTTTAAAGTCTCTCCATAAAAAAAGAGAATTACAACCCATGTATTAATCATATAGAGAGAAACAGCAACAACGAACATCACATAGCAATGATACCATAATTCACAAGCACATGAGCTATTTAAGAACTTCAGGACCAACCTTCTCGGGTTCAATTGATTCCGGTCACTAGTTCAGAACCCCCTCTAGAGGGCAATTATGGGGGTCAAAAGTAGTCTGGACGCCCTCATTGTATTTAAAAAAAACACTCAAGGACCTTTAAGTCTTTAACAATTTACCATTGGTAATATTAGATTGTCAGAAAGAGTTTAATAGACATGAAGTGGCTTGTTAAGGGGTACATGAATGAGAATTAATTCTCAAAAAGTTAAGATTACTACAAGTCGTCATCACGTGTCAATGTGTGTCTGAAGAAAGGCGGGATCAGTTTGCTCACCTGGAGATGCATCAAACTGATGATAATGGAAAACTGTGTAATGTTTCACTTGCCAATGTTTCCAAATTTTCCATCAAAAGTTCTATATATTGAGGTCTCGGAGGTAGGAGGCCGTAGCACAATTTCCTTGGGATATCTGTGAAGTATAAACCAGTATCAAGTACTCCGTAATAATTAAAAATAGAGTAACATTTTGAGAAATATCTGGAAGTATCAAGATAATAAGAAATATTAATAATATCACCATACTCCAAAAAAAAATTAAATGGGGTTATGTTTTAAAAAAAACTTCTCCCATTTCGATTTTAGATATCTACAAGTTTTTTCATGTATTCAAATTACATATATTTGTACAAACAAATACCAATATTTTTGTCATTGGTTTTCCAGAAATAAATTTACGAGACACATCTAGGTTTTTGATCTTGTTCTCCATAACTTTAAGATTAGGCTCCAAAAAGAATATAAAACCAGCATTTTTCTAAAGCCTGGACTTTACTCATACTGAGTTTTAACAAAATTATCAAAAGATTCAGAAAGAACTTGTTAAATCATTATTCAGTAGCCAAATATATAGACACATATATAGAGCCATACAGACTCTGGGCTATTCCCCTACATATACACAAACTTACATATATCAAGGCTTTGGGTTGTCCATTCTGTTAGCTAGACAATTAAACTCTAACAAGTCTTAGATAGAATCACTAGTCCTAATTTAGTACCGAATACAAATAAACGCAAACGATTAGTCAATCCAACTAATACGTAAAAACACACAGCTTTCATGGTTGGTCTGATCAATATGACCAATTTTACACACTCCGTATAAGACTTTGGCTGATTCTCGTGTTGATTTGTGTCAGATTGATCTTTTAGTCTCAATGCAATTTATCATGTGTTTGCAATCAGTGTGAATGTGTGAATGTGTGGTACATAAAAGTAATGTCATTATTCTACAAATATGCACGAGAAATATGATATGGAGATTTAGCTTGAGTATCCAAATTGCTGTGAACTACTAGAAAACATAGAGAAGGTCCAAGAGCTACCTGCATTTGAACACTTCTCCAAACCATTACAATAAATCTTTCATGAAGTCAAGATTGAGTGTGTCTCGCACAAGAAGGAAAACTCCAAGAACTAGGACTACCATCACTCCGGATGACATAATACGTTGCTCAACTTCAAGCGGAAGCTTCCGCCCACCTCTAGCCGCTTCTATGAGTAACAAAGCCAATGAACCCCCATCAAGAGCAGGCAAAGGAAGAATATTTATCACAGCAAGGTTAAGGTTCAAAATTGCAGCAAATTGATATAGACCATCAATATTTGACTTTGCCACCTCAGCACCAACAGCTATAATCGCTACAGGGCCCGAAACCTTACTTGCAGACTGAGAGAAGTTTAAAAAGGTCTGTTTCAAACCGCCTAGCACATTAGACGTAAGTGCCCAAAATTCACTTCCCGTGAAACCAAATGCTTCAAATATATTCTTCGGGCTAACTTTTGAAAGCTTATAGTTCGGCGTTAATTGTACCCCAATGCGACCCGTACCATCCGAATTCATATCCGGAGTGACATTGATGTCCATCCTTTCCTCTCCTCTCCCTATCCTCAGCAACACATTTCTAGTAGGGCTTTTCTTAATCACATCAACAACCTCAGAAACCAAATTAGGTCCCGTTTGGCTGAAATCAACTCCATTAACACCTAGAATGATGTCACCAGGGGCTATACCATCTCGGCTAGCAGCTGAAAATGGCTTAACATCTGGAACAAGCACACCAGGGGAGGCCTCTTGAACAGGCAATCCAACTGATATAATTTGGGTAAAGATTATAACATAAGCAAACACTATATTAGCAATCACACCGGCTGAAATAACAAACATTCTGTCCATAATAGGTCTGTTTTTTAGCAGATTCCTATCATCTGGTGGAATACCGCTATCCGGGTCATTATCAGGAAATCCAACATACCCACCTAAAGGAAATGCTCTAATTGAATACTCCACATTCTTGGAATTGAATCTGGCTAAAATTGGACCGAACCCAACCGCAAACTTACTTACATGAATGCCCTGGAGATAAGCTGCCAAAAAGTGGCCACTCTCATGGACTATGATGATGGCGGTCAATACTCCAGCTGCCTCAAGAACTGACTGTGCATCCTGAAACGCGCTGAAATCCAATCCTGCTACGGCGTGATGCTTGAAATTTCCCCTCCTACCACGAGGGAATTGACTCTTGAAGAAGCTTAAAGAAGAAAATGAGCAGTGAAGTGATAATTTTGGAATCGGGGTTTTGTTTCTTGTATGGTATGGTGAAGTGGGTGCCTTTGAATTTGTTAATCTGGCGAGTAATAAATTAGAAGAAGCAGCAACAGGTGGAGAAGATGAGAGGTTTATCATCATCCTGTAGTTTGCTATATCTGGAATAACTTCAGGTTCATTACGAATAAAAAGAAGTTTTGGTTAACGTACGGAGAGTGAAGAAAGAGTTGAGATTGGATATAGATCGAACAGATATCATGTGTTTGTGAATTTTATGGAGGGGAAGTGGATAACGTGACGCCACTTCTCTCTGCTCCACAGCTTCAGTCTGTGGGGCATGGTCGTGGTATTTGTATTCTTGTTTTGGACTTTCAAATCATTAGTGTTGATACTAACCATTGTTTGCAAGTTCCGGCCCACTAGGCCACCACTAAACAATCACATTAATTCAAAACATAAGACAACTTGTTAAGATTGATTTTCTAATCTATTAGACCATTTGGGGTGGGGTAAGAGTCTATATGAACTCCGTCGATTTGAAAACAGTGTTTTGACTCATTTCTCTGTATTTCAGCACCGTCAATAAAATACACTCTGCACATTTTTTTACATATCAATTTAGTAAAATATTAATTAAATTATTATAAGTAATGTTTTCCTTTTAATTTTTTCTCTGATTAATTATAAAATAAAAAAGACACATTTCGATGTAAAAAGTAAATAAATTTCACTAATTCTTTTTTTTTTTACGTTTTTTGCTGAGTTATTTCAAACACATTGGATTCTCTTCTCAAGTTTGTGTCTATCCATAATACATTGGATTCCCTTCTCAACTTTTTGTATCTTTTCAAATCACATTGGATTCTCTTTTCACATTGGAACGTTACATTTTTGCGAAAATGATACGTGAATTCGGCCCCAAAAACTCTCCCCGGGTTGATTTATGCCAATGCCAATGCCAATAGAGCAACATCCTCAATAACACTCCAATTAGCACCTCTTCTTGATGAAGACATCACAAAAATTTAGATTGTAAAGAAAATACTATCGTATGATGAAGAATGAGATAGATGAGAGATGTGTGATTAAAATAGGAAGAAATGAGGTGTTTATATAGGAATTTCGGTCAAAATATTAATTAAAAATAGGAAAAATTGATTGTAGTAATCCCAACTATTGGCGGTCCGCTTATAATAATCCCAACTATTGATTATTTTAGAATAATCTCAACTTTAGGGACCTTCCGCCAATAATGGTCCCTGTAAATAAATTCATGTAATTTCTAAAGTAGATGAGAAGAGATATAACAAGTAATCACTATAAATAATCCCAACTTTTAATTTTTACGCTTAATTTCTATTTAAAATTCACTTTTTATAGGAGGTAATATTTGGTCATGGACCATTATTGGCGGATGGTCCATATAGTTGGGATTATACAAAAATAATCAATAGTTGGGATTATTGTTAGCGGACCGACAATAGTTGGGATTATTACTCCCTCCGTATCAAATTAATTGACCCACTTTCCTTTTTTGGTGTATCAATTTAATTGACCCATTTCCCTTTTTGGAAAGAATCCCACTCAAAAAGCAGCTACAGTACTGCTACAGTACCGCTATAGTGTCGCTACAGTACCAAAAACCTCTTACTTTTAATAAAGTCTACAGTAATTGTCTTAAACTGCGTGAAAAAGAAACGGGTCAATTAATTTGATACGGAGGGAGTATTTTCCATTTTTCCTAAAAATAATGAGAAAATAAAATAAATTACTTTAACCGTTGGATTTCAATTTCAGTCGTTGGATTAATTTTTTTCCCGTTCAAACAGTGTCAAAATCATCATAGCCGTTGGATATACCGTTTTTTTAAAATAAAAACAACCTAGAGCCCTGGGGAGTGCTCAATGACACCAGCATGATGTCATCGTGACATCATGCAATTCAATTAAATCGCCGTCTTCCCCTCTGCGCAGCACCTTGTCTGCCCCCACCCCTTTTACGTTTTGTTTTCCAATTAATTTGAGGGAGCCAACTCCATCCTTCAAATTTAGAACCCTCAATCCTATTACCCATTTTACCCCCATATTGTGAATCACTACAAGGAATTAGGAGTCCAAAATTAGGAGTTCTAAATTTGAAGGCCTAAAGAATAAAAAACTGATGCCCTTCGAGTCATATAGCTTCATAATTTCATAAGGTCATACCATTTATTTGAAGGAGATATTGGGGTGTTTAAAAAATGTCGTTAGGGAAAAAAATTGCAATTTGATTCATTTTGACGTTTTCACTAAAAAACGCAATTTGGTAAATAGCCTTTCGGTAATAATGTTTTTGAGTTATCGTTTTGAAATAGAGCATTTCCTACTAATTGTTGCGCCAAACAATTAAATTACCGAATATCTTTTTACAACTTTTTTTTTAAATAAAGAAAAACTTTATTAAAATAGAAGAAGAGTACAATGATCATGTCAATTATTCCGTAAGTCAAATTCGCTGAGTAAATCTGCTATTAAGACCCGCTAAAATTATTAGAATTAGGGACCCGTTGTTGGCTAATTTTCGTCGAGTTCAGCCCACTCTATGCAGTTTCGTCTCAATCGTAGCTGCCCTCATCTAGTGTCTATAGCATTTTAGGGATATAAGGCTTCTAAGAAATCCTAGCTAGATGATCTTCAATGGCAGACCTAAAACTTTTCTCATGCGGGGGCACTATTGTATGGATGGAGACGGACTTGGTCGGGTGTGAGACTAATCTATTCAATGTGTAGACATTTTTTTAAGGAAAAATTGATAGTAATAATCCCAACTATTGGCGGTCCGCTCATAATAATCTCAACTATCGATTATTTTAGAATAATCCCAACTTTAGGGACCTTCTGCCAATAATGGTCCGACGTAACCAGTTATAAATAAATTCCTATAATTTCTAAAGTGGATGAGCAGAGATATAGCACGTAATCCCTATAAATAATCCTAACTTTTAATTTTTACGCTTAATTTCTATTAAAATTTACCTGTTATAGCAGGTAATATCCAGTCATGGACCATTATTGACGGATGGTCCATATAGTTGGGATTATACAAAAATAATCAATAGTTGGGATTATTGTTAGCGGACCGGCAATAGTTGGGATTATTATTTTCAATTTTTCCTTTTTATAAAACAAAAAACAGGTTATTCAATTTTAGTTTCAAATGATTTACATCTATGTACAACGTACAGGTCTAGTTTTTAACCCATTAAAATAATTCTAAATAACAATGTTCAGTTTCTTGAAAGAAAGATAATACTTCATATGAATTAGAATTGAATCATCTTGGCACCTTTCTGGTTTTGGATTAGAATTCCAGTTGGTTTTGTACTACAAACAATAAGAATTTTGATTTAGAATTAGGATAGTGTCCAACGTTACACGTCATGCCACCGAATTACGGTGTCCAAAATTCCTCCATCAACTTGGGATTAAATTGTGAAACCTAACATGTAACTCCCGGGCGAGCTAAACTACTTTAATTTCTTGATTCAATCATCTCCCGTTTGTTACTACTACACCCTTTTCTAATAACTCTCTTATGGAATCATGTTGTTTTTGTCCGAATACGTACGCCCTTTAATTACAAGAGGATCCCAACATTTTAGTAACATAACCATGAAGAAATATCCAAAGAAGGTATTCACAAACTTCTTTTTTTGTGCAATAGCCACAACAACTAATTGTAATTATTGGTAAGAAAATAATGAATATATCTTGTGTATGGAATTTCTTTTAAGATAATCTTAAATCCATTAAGCTCACCACACATATTAGAAGTCTCGTCATATAATTGAATTCTAATTTTGGAAAAAGATATTTCGTACTTCACAAAAAATAGCCCCAATGCCACTTTTCAAAGAATTAACCTGTCAAAAACATGTCTGATTGTATAAAATCACTTCATCATAGCTTCGTAGTCATTCAAATGTCAAGAAGCGGGGGCACTGATTATATCATAAGTAATAGAAATAATTACCCTAGGTATGACTAAAACTCAATGAGTTTACCCATCTATGACCTAACTAGTTTTTTTCCCAAAATAATATTAAAATTGATCATCTTTAATTAAAATTCGAAATTAATATAAAATAAATAATTTTAATGGACACTTATAACCTTTCACTGTGTTATTATAAAATAGTAATCTCCTAATACCCTAACTGTAGCCAATCTGCATTGGCCCAAGAGCTTCTTCGCTGATCTAAAAGCAACCATCCGTCTTGGAGCCGTGTCGCCTAAAGGAGTCCATAGGAAGCATCGACGCCGTTCTGGAATCCACACCGATATGGAAGCAACGTCTCCGTCGCCTAGAGGTTGTAGTCGAGGTCGTACCTGTGCATGGGTGGGGAGGGTTTCAGCGGCAATCGACAGAGTACTTCAACCAGGGATGGACGGCGATGGCTATGCGATGATCCGATCACCAACGATCGTTAGTCTGATGCAGCTTAGCTTAATTAGAGATAAATAGTGTATATGTGTAGGCGTTGTAATAAGCAGAGGACACGTGTACAAGTCAGTTAGGGGTTAGTTTGTTAGCTGACTTCTTGTTGTAATTCTGATTGAGATATATACGGATTGTATTGATCATTTTGGATATGAAATGAATAACAGACTTCTTCTTCACATTCATTCCTTTCTCCTCATTTGATCTGTACATTTCTCGTTACTTGTTCTTCATACTAATTCAGGTAACCTGATCTGTATCATTGGTATCAGAGACTTCTGATCCGAGTACTATAGTTGGTTGTGATTGCCGAGGATGGTGGTAACTCGGAATTCTAATTCCGATATGGATGAAACCTTAAAGAATATGCAGATGGAGTTTGATCAAAAGCTCGAACATCAGAATAAGGTCATGATGGATATGATGAGCAAAATTATGAAGAAAGTGGTTGGGATCCAGAAGAAAAAGAAGACTATCAATTCGGAGGAATCCGAAGATGAATCGCAGGAAGACGAGGGGGAGAATACATCTTCAGAGGAAGATGATGAAAGCAAGAATGAAAAATCACCTGGGACTCATCAGCATACATTCAGGTTCATTCCGAAAGTAGAATTTCCTACTTTTGAAGGGCAGAACGCCAAGTTGTGGATTCAGAAATGTGAGAGGTACTTCAAGCTTTGTAATATTCCTGACAAGCAAAGAGTTAACCTAGCCTCTTTATACTTAGAAGGAAGGGCTGCTAGTTGGTTTGGTAGTTATGTATCTTCTCATAAACGATTGAAATGGAAACAGTTTATAGTAGACTTGGGGGCTAGATTCAATGATAATCTGG